TGTACGTGAGTGCAGGTGTCTGAAGAAGCCAGTGGTGTCAGGTTCCTTTGGAGCTGGAGTCACAGGCTGTCCTGAACCACAGGCTGTGCCCTGGGAACAGAACCCAGGTTCTCTGCAGCAGTAACATGTCCTCTTAGCCGCAGAGACATCTCACCAGCCTCTGGGATGAAAGCTTTGAATGGAAGTATTTAGTTTGTTTATACCTAATGTAATTATTAATACATTAGAAACACAATGCTAATGTATTATTAGCTGTTTTCAATAAGTTTCACCTGTTATGAGTCCAAGTCTTGACAACACCTCCCTTTGGATACAAAGGCTCCCTATGTAGCTTAGGCTGGCCTCCAATTCTAGATCCTTCTGTTTTAGTGTTTGGATTGCAAGTGAAGGCTGCAGTTCCCCGCTCAGTTCCCTATTGGCTCTTTTCTCACTTTTTAAGTGAGATGTTTATTATCTTTTTTTGAACGTGTTTTTAGATCAATGTCACCTTTTATCTTGCTGTTGCTGCATTCTCTTGTCTTTCTTATTGCCTCGTGGATTGTGGTGACCATCAGAAATTGATAAAATTAGCACACTTACTTTTTTTCCTAGATCACGCAATGGGAGAACACCTTTCATTCCTTTCTCGTCTTTCCTACCATGTGTGCATGCTATGGCTGCCATGCTTTAAAACTGTACATACCTTTTGATGTCCGTGAGATATCACTATCTTTAACCCAACCGGTATCCATTTACATTTAGTAATGCTTTAATCCTGTTGCTTCATCTTTCCTGCATTGATTGTCATCTCTCCAGGATCATTTCTTCCTCTCAGAGAACTTACACACACACACACAAACATACACACACCACACACACGGACACACATACATGAATGCACACACAAACATACACACAGAAACACACACACACACAAACATACACACACCACACACACGGACACACATACATGAATGTACACACAAACATACACACAGAAACACACACACACACAAACATACACACACCACACACACGGACACACATACATGAATGTACACACAAACATACACACAGAAACACACACACACACTACACACACACACACACACACACACGTACATACATGAGTGCATACACATACACACAAATGCACCTTTGTTGGTAGTATATTAATTTTGTTATTGTTTTTCTGAAAGCATATTTTGTCTTCAATTCTGACAAGCATATTTTATTTGGTGCAGGATTTTTCAACCTTCCTTCTCCTCTCCCTTCCCCTTTCTTCCCTCTCTTCTTCCTTGTTTTTTGTTTTTGTTTTGTTTTGAGACAGGGTCTCACTATCTTCCCTGGGTATTACTCTCCAGCTCCCATCTGCTGAAAGTGCATGGCCAGTCTAGGTGTTTTCCATTGTCCTTATTGCCAGGTCCTATGATGCTTCCAACAACGTTTTAGGTGTATTTTTTTATTTTTTTATGTTTGTAGTTGTATTCAGAAGGGGAAGGAATTTTACATATCAACTGACTTTGGTTTCCCCCAGGTAATATTGGAGACTGGAGGATGGAGGGAAGGTTTATGTGTGGGGTGGAGGAGGGGCTTTACTTAGGAGGAGAGACCCTCAGAGTCCAGCTTGGTGGCACACTAACTCTAATTCTGGCACTTGGGGGCTGATATACATACATAGGAGAGTTTTGAAACCGAGAGCAGTAGGGCTGCATAGCCACGTCCCATCTTAGAACAACAAACCGAAGAGATGGACCCCAGGTTAGCAGCAAGAGGGGATCCAGGTAGGTGGACCCCAGGTTAGCAGCAAAGAGGAGATCCAGGTAAGTGACAGGATGGATGACATTCTCTTGAATAGCACACCTGGGAAATGGTGATCTTTCTCCTGCTTGCTAAGGAGACACTTCATGAAAGGCCTGAGAATTCTCCTCTGCGTCTGAAGAGAAAGGCCTGTTTTTCAGTGCTGATTTCTTAGGCAAGTTTCCCAGAATTGCCATGCAAAGCTCCTCCACTGCAGAGATTAAATAAAATTGCCCCACACTCTAGATGTCCTGTCTTGTGGTTGACTTAAACTACGGTGCTTCTGCCCAGCTCTTTCTCAACAAGCCTCCTGTTTGGTTCAAGAGGCTCTATGTTTGCAAAGCCATTTAACCATCCCAAGACCTTGGCCACGGGACCTGGTGTTTCAAGGCCCAAATTTATGGGAACTGAAGAAGTCTCTCCCGAGGAAGGAGGGACATAAAGTTTTTAGCCCTCACTGGGCTGAGGGCCTAACTTCCTGTTTGTGTGTTCTCAGAATCGTTGCATACTTGTGAGGACTGGCCAGCCAAGATACCTGGATGGGGTGGGTGAGTGGATGGGGTATGTGAAGGTGGACACCCAGAGGGGCGACTCTCGAGTTCCAGCTCTGGCCTAACCTCCGGAAAGGAGATGTTTTCGTAAGACTTTGAAGAAAAGTCTGGAGGCAGATCTTAGACAAGTAGTAAAAAGAAGAGACACTTTTTCACTTTTTAGCCGGTTAGTGTGTACGTGTGCATTTGGGTGCATATGTATGTAATACACATGCGTGTGGAGGCCAGAGGTGGACATTGAGTATCGCTCTCACCTGAGGCAAGGCCTCTCATTGAACCCGAAGTTCACCTATTTGGCTAGACTGGCCGGCCAGCAAGCCCCAGGGCTGTGTCTCTGCTGCCCGGCTCTGGGATTAGAGGCAGGTGCCCCTACATCTGGACTTGTATGACGTGCTGGGCATCGAACTGCAGTCCTGGTCCTTAACGCTTGAGCAGCAAGCACCTCTCCCATTGGGCTGCCCTCCCACCGCCAGGGATGTCAATGACCTGACAACCTTTTCACTTTCAAATAGCCGACTTTCAGCTCCAGTGTCTCCATGGAAATGAGCACTTAGTAGGTACCAAACACGCCCCAGCCCCACAATCACTCATCTTCTGCTAAGCATCGCTGAATCTCCATCACCTTTTGGTGGGGGGGCTTTGCTCATCACCTCCATGGCGGGAAAGCCAGGCTTGAAGACCTTAAGCTCAAGGCCACATGGCTAGTGAGTAGCAGAACTCCATTCCAGCGGAGGCTCTGTGGACTCGGGGCCTGTGCACTAACCGTAACCACCACTCCGTTCTTTCTTTCTTTTTTTTTTTTAAGTGTTTATTTTATTTTTAAGGGTTTAAGAATCTTTAAAATTACCTTTAAGTTAGTGTACAAAATAATGGATTCATCCCGACATTTTCATGCCCTTTCTGCCATCCTTTCTTCCGCTCTGTTTATCTCACGCTTCCCCGCGACAGTCCTCCTCTGGCTTTCGTGCCCCCCTCCCCCTATTTCCCTTTAGATCCCTCCCCCCACCCCATAGTCTATCTTGCCAACTCACACATACTTAATACAATGATCTCCAGTCCCAGCCATTTTTTGGAAAATGTCATAATGTATACACAGCACATCCTCTTTATCCATTCACCTGTTGATGGGCATCAACGCTGCTTCCGTAGCTTGGCTGTTGTGAATAATGGGGCAACAAGCATGAGTGCCCAGGCGTCTCTGTGGCATGCTGACCTGGATTGCCCGGGCATATTCCCAACACTAACTTTGTTCTGAAGATGAAACAGTAGTCATGCCATCGTGACCATTCCATCCATCTTCATTTCCTGAGACCCACGTAAGGGCTGGGACCTCACTCCAGCTACAGCCAGGTCTCTGATTATGCTGTGATGTCTCTCGGGTCCTCTTTCCAACCTCCTGTTCAAACTGCCTCTCCTGATTCCGTTGCCGACAGCTTCTGGGTCTGTTCAGCCAGGGGTCGGGGGTGTCACTGATGGGTACGTATCCTTACCATCCCTTCCAGCCACAGAAAGGCCATACTTTCCGAGGCACCCTGGCTCCAGCTGTCCTCAGCCACCTCCTGGCGTTGTTTCTCACAGGCACTCACACTCTCTCCTACCATACTAACGCCTCCTCCATCCGTCTGTCTGTAGTTTCATTCTCTGGACCTCTCTGCTGCAGGCTAGCCTTCTCTCTGCCCTCCAGAATGTTAAAACCATTGCCCACATCCAGTTTTCACCACCAAACTATTGGCATGGTCTCTCTCAGCCTTCTTGAGATGCCTAATGTAGACACGGCCCCTGCCACAGGAAGGTGAGACACGAGCAGTTTATTTGGGAAGTGATGGGGGGCAATGTGTAGCGATGAGCATGCCACTCACTACTGTGAGTGCCCACTAAGGACCCTGCAGGAATGTGGAGAGGACACCTTAAAGTTGTCCACAGAAAGACGGGAGGTTTATATGCCATCTTCCCTCTCTCACTGGGGAAAGGTGGCTCTGAGGACAAACTTTCAGAGATTTCCAGAACACCCTGAAGGTAGGTTGACCAAGCTCTGACGGCATCTGCAGAAGGCCACCAAGAAGGGGAGCAGAGAATGAGGAACTTCTGAGATGAGAAGCCATTAGTACTTCCTGGGAACTCTGACGTGGGCTGAAGAGATGGGGCTGGGCAGCTACAGAGTCTATTGCCATGGAAACCTTCTCATATTGTTGCAACCAAGGAAAGTCAAAGGCAGATCGATTTCTTCTCCCCAGAAAAACAGGTGTACTTCAGAATGGGATGTGATCCGGGAGCTTCCCCTCCCCTCTAATGAGCCAGAGAGGGGACAGGATGAGGCAAGGCATCCCAGAGACCGAAGGCCTTCACACCAGAGAACACCCATGCTCTCCCCAGGCCAGATGCCATCTGCAATCAATACCTCTTGCTGTGCACTGCTAACCTGGCCACTGAGCTCGCACGCCCTAGGCGGTTTCTCCTTGGTCTGCTCTCAAGCTCCGAACCATTACTGTGCAGATTCAACAGAACAAATGAGGGTCTCCGACCTGTCCAGGCTCTGTGAGCCATGCACTGTAGCCATGGATCACCCCGGTGGATGGCTGGGCCCGAGTCCAGTCAACACTGACACTGAGAAATGAATGCTTCTGTGGATGTCTTTTTAACGGTTAAATCCACGGATAGGTTTTATCTAAGTAGATTTTTTTTTACATAAAAAGATTTTATTTTTAATTATGTGTATACGTGTGTGTTTGCATATGTGTATGAGTACAGTGTCCCAGAGGACAGAAAGGGGTGCCCGATCCCCTGGAGCTGTAGTTACAGGCAGTTGTGATCCACCCCATGTGGGTGCTGGGAACCAGACTCATGTCCTCTGTGAGAACAGTACGTATTCTTAACCACTGAGCCATCTCTCCAGGCCCTAAGTGGATATTTCTTATAGTCACTACCTAAGCTTAAAAAGAAATGATGCATTTTTAATTAGTATCTGATGGATGGTTAGTCATGTGGCAAATACTGGCTGAATATTAGGCCCTACTTGAAGCCAAAATGCCAATTTAATTATGTCACCCCTGCAGCTCATATCTCTTCTATGGCTGCCTATTGAGAGAGAGGGAAGGAGGGCAGGAGAGAGGGAGGGAGGGAAAGGGAGAGGGAGAGGGAGAGAGAGAGAGAGGGAGAGAGAGAGAGAGAGAGAGAGAGAGAGAGAGAGAGAGAGAGAGAGAGAGAGGGAGAGAGAGAGAGAGAGAGAGGAGAAGCATGAATGTTGGGGATCAGAGTCCTGCTCATGTTTAAGCACATTGTCTGCCACAGAAACTGTATTCCCAGCTTATAGATAGTTTCAAATTCTTATGGCAGACTCCTACACCTTCTGGAAGACCTGTTCTGTGCTGCCCTCTGGCCCCTCCAAGGCAGGCTATCCCGCCAGCCGGCCAGCTATAGTGAACTACTCAGTTCACTCCGGGCAGTCTATCTCTTTCCTGTCCCTCTGGGAACCCTTGGCCAAGCCCTTCCTCGTTCTTCCTGAATTAGCTCAACCGTCCCCTCTGCAAAGGGCCACCCTCCATCCAAGTGGCCTTGTCACAGTGCTTTCTCTCAGTCCCCCGCTGTCACATCCTCATACAATCGTCTCCTTTCTTTTCCTTCCCGTGTCTCCCACAGACCTTTAAGAGCCGCTGTTGGCAGGGCCGGGGTGGTGGCTCAGTTGTAGAGGGCTTTCCTGCCATGCACAAGGCCCCACGTTTGATCCTCAGTGCCACATAAACTAGGTGCAGTGACGCACATCTGGAATCCCAACATCAGAAGGCAGAGTCTGGAACAGCAGAAGTTTCAGCTACGTAACGAGTTCAAGGCCAGCCCAGTACACATGAGACCCCGTCTCTAAAACATGCAAATAATAGTTTAGCTTGGGTTTCAGCCTTGGACAACAGCGCTTTTGCTCTCTGTAGGCCCAGATGGTTTTTCCGTCTGTGAAATGGGGAGGAAACAAGGCCATTTGCTTGCTGCACAGTAGTACCCAGCTTCTAGTGAAGGTCAGTACCGGCTTTTGTAATGTGTACCTTCAGGGCCAGTCTTTGGACCGCATACTCGGTGGGCACTTCAGGATATGGTCTCTCTCAGGGTTTTTCACATTTTCTTCGACACTGGAACTGCCTGGAGGCTACGTAAGGACACAGGTGCGTGGGTCCCACTCTGGGAATTTTTGGTCAGAGCGTCTGGATTAGAGTAGGAGGGGACTCTACAGCCCCATCAAGCCCTCGGTCAATGCTGCGGCTGCTGGCCCAGGGCCATCCATTGCGAGCCACTGAGCGGGCCACCTGGTGTTTGGAGCTAAGCAAAGCTCACTCTCGAGCATTTGGTGATCTGTTCTCAGGGCTAGTAGTCGTGGAATATCTATCTATCTATCCATCTAGCGGTTCAAGTGACATTTACTGAGTATCCGCCAGTGTCCACGAATCACAAAAATGTCCTGATCTGGAGAAACCTACAGTCCAGGGACTATGCTTTGGGGGCTAAGCTTCGGCTCACACAGGCCCTATGGCTAACAGAGACTTTGGAGAAGCGGTTGGTTTGGGGTTCACGGTTAACTACCGCAGTCATCGAAGCTGCCTTCTCGAGGTTGAGTTCACTCAAACACTCAGGTGAAACTAATTATAATAATCCCATAATCCCCTTGCCTACTGTGGCACTTATCACCTGCCACTAGTTTTAGTCCAAAGTTAACCCACAGAACAAGGCAGAGCAAAGCCTTTTGGGACCAGAGCCAGGCTATGGCACACCTGTTATATGTAAGGGTGTATCTCATTATCAGTCAGAAGTCTCCAAGAACCAGAGCGAAGGCCGTGGCATGACGCCATGTGTGCAATGATAAATATCAGTATTGCTAGTATTAGTAGCTGATGTGAGAAGGGGGCTCCTGTTGCTGCTGCGGGTTCCTATGCCGGAATGGCTGTTGTTTACCGAGTACTGAGAGTGTGTTAGCTACTGCACTGTTAGCTGTGACCCCTGTAACCCTCACCGTTGCTATCCCTTTATTGCTGGAGGAAATAGAGATGGGAATTCATTTGATCTCTAATCGGGTGTGTTGGGGGAGGGGAGCCGGTGTGAGAGGTAAGGTCAGGCTGTGGAGCATGACAGAAGCTGCAAGGTTGCTTGAAAGTTTGGCAATTCCACATTCTTCCTTAAGCGTTCTTCCAGGTGGAGCATAAAGGAGCATAAAATCTACCTAGCTCATCTTGGTTCGGAGGGCTGTGGGATCATAGATAGTAAGTGGCCAGTTTGTCTTAATTCTTCCAGTTCTCCCAACGAAACCCGACTGTATTCTAGAAGTTAATCAACAGACTCTTAATGTTCCTTTCTTAGGTCCAATTTCCTGGCGAGGCAACAGAAGAAAGCGCCTTGGTCAGTTTGCAGAACTCAGGTCCTGGAGCGCACCCATGTGGTCGGATTAGGTAAAAGGCGTTTGAATGACAGTCTCTCCCAAGAGCGCCCTTCAAAGGCAACCATTGCCAGATGTGCAGCTGGGGCCATTTTGTCAGGAAGCACCCATTTGGAAACAAACCCATACAGGTTCCTGCCCATCGGCTCCTAGGAAAATGTAACGAAGCAGTTAAATTAATTGTACGTGTGTAGGGGCGGGTGTGGGGGGGGGGTCGGGGTTGGGGGCCGACACACAGACGTAAGTTGATAGTGCTTTAGGAAGGCTGTGTGTGAGATCCTGTCTGGCAGCAGGGGCCCTTGTTTCTGTTAAATCACGTGGTTCGCTTCTGCCGGGCAAGTTAGAGGCTCCAGGGTGCAGTGGAGCCAGGGGTAGCTTTATGGGTGGCGCACAGAGGCCCAAAACTTCCAACTTCCCGAGAAGCAATCCCTAGCCCTGGCCCAAAGACCCCCATAATCAATGTTTGGAAGTTGTTTGCTGCCGTTTTTTTTCTTGCTAACGGGCAGTGATTTTCAGGGGACCATGCTGCTCCGTTTTCAACAGCGCGAACACAGTCCGACCAGAGAAGGACCCGACTCTATTCACTGTGCTTACTTAAACGGCTCTGAAGAGGACATGGAGAGGGTGGTTGGTTAAAGCGAGCCCTGCCAGCCTCCGTCCCTAGTCTCGGGGTTTGCACCGTGGGAAGGTGGGTGACTTTCCTCGCAGGCAGGCCGGGAAGGATTTTTCTCTCCCGTTTGTGGTAATGACCACACCACTGCCCCCTCTGCTCCCACAAGGCTGGGAATGGCCAGTACCGAATCGCTGTGCTGCATCCTGAGCTCTGGGTTTATTGCTTCAGGCCCAGGACTAGCTTGGGGCTACGGGACGGAAGAGACCACACCTGCAGGTCCTGGACCAAGAGGCCTAGGCTTCTCGGCATCGTTGAGGAGGAGCCAGAGGGGCCAATTCTGGACTTTGTAAATTTAATGAGATCCCCACTGCCCAGTGTATCTGGACTGTTTGCATGGTGTTTGGGGGTAGGGAGTAAGGGGGAGAGAGAGACAGAGACAGAGAGAGACAGAGAGACACACAGAGAGACACACACACAGAGAACCGTGTTTAAAGAGCAAAGAGCTGTGTTGCTCTGGTTGGTCAATAAATAAATCACTGATTGGCCAGTGGCCAGGCAAGAAGTATAGGTGGGACAAGGAGGAGAAGAATTCTGGGAAGTGGAAGGCTGAGTCGGAGACACTGCCAGCCGCCATGATCACAAACAGCATGTGAAGATGCCGGTAAGCCACGAGTCATGTGGCAAGGTATAGATTAATGGAAATGGATTAATTTAAGCTGTAAGAACAGTTAGCAAGAAGCCTGCCACGGCCATACAGTTTGTAAGCAATATAAGTCTCTGTGTTTACTTGGTTGGGTCTGAGTGGTTGTGGGACTGGCAGGTGAGAGAGATTTGTCCTGACTGTGGGCCAGGCAGGAAAACTCTAGCTACAAAGAGCTACAAAGGAAACCAGTGCCCTCTCTGGCTTTCTTTCACTCCCTGTTTTTGGCAGCTCCTTAGGTCTGTGGCTCTTTCCTCAAGAGGATGAATCCAAGGGTGGCCTCGGGCTGCTGGGAACAGCTGCTCCTTTGAGTGAATTCTTTTACGGATATCAGTCAAAAAGTTTCTGTCATCAGGAACTGGAAGGCATCATTGAGGGTGTGCACACACGTGTTGTGCACATGAGTGTGAGTGAGCGAGCATGTGTGTATATGTGTGTGTGTGTATGTATACACTTGCGCGCACAGTGGTGGACATTTCATCTCACTAGCTCCATTCTTGGAAAAGCCACGTCTTCTTGGCAAGGGAGAGCAGACACTTCCCTGTGCACCTACAAATAAATCAGTAAATCATTAAATGACTCATCGTGACAAACCCAGCACTTTGTCCCCTCTCCTCCCGAACTTCTTAATTTTGTTTTCTCTGGGGAGAGTAGTCTGGACTGTTTTGCCGCCTGTCAGATTTGCTTCCCATTCTGCCTGCCAGAGCTTGATTTGGCTCCACGGGGTCGTTTGCAACGTCTTACCCCTGCGTCCTACAGTCTTTCTGTACACATTTGTGGAGTGCCTGCTTTCTCACACTACAGTGGCATGAGGTGTGGCAGTTAGCGTCTGCTGTGAATTCATCAGAAACGGACTACAACGGAGAGCACACAACTTTCACACGAAACTCAAAACTTCCTTCTTAAACTGCAGCTGGGTTTAGGGTCCTTGCAGTAGTAAATCATTGCTTGAGTTTGTGCCTTCAATTTCCTGACCTTCATAAAAACAAAAGCAAAACCACAACTTCGTTTAAGAGTTCCCTCTTCTTCGGCCCAGGAGAAGGGAGAGACCAGGACTAGCAGCCAGCGAGGGGCTTCTCGGAGCTTCGCCACAAAGAGCCCCTCCCCCACCCCAACCTGTGTTCGGTTTCCAGGAAGTGGGAGGGCGCTGTTGCCTGGTGGCCTGAGTCACTCTTCACTGCTTCTGGACCTCCCTATCCTGCCTGGAAACATTTCCCATCTGAACCCAAAGCGCTGATGCCCTGTAAGGTGAACCGGGCCAAGAGACTGCCACCTTCCTCTGTGGCTTGCTCTAGCCCAGAGGCTGGCCAAAGGTCACAGCGGGCAACACCCCCGGGCTTTGCAGACAAAGGAGCGGACAGCTGGCTGGTTTCACTGAGGGCAACTTGGAGGGACTGGGACCTGTGGCCACTTCCCCCTCCCCTTCCAGCTTTCCCGAGGTGTTTTTAGTAGCCTCTACCCCCACCCCCAACCGGTTGAGGAACAGACAGTGATTTCTAACTCAGGTCAGGAGGACCCAGGAAGCAAATTTAGCTTACAGGAAACCGCTTCTGGTCCAGTCAGTCTGTCAGAAGCCTGCAGGCCATGCTGCTATCACTCCCTCCACATCTGGGGGTTTACAGACATGGTCCTTCTTCGGACACGTCTACCAGTTTCCTAGTCTGCTTTAGGTATGGTCCCTATGCTCTCAGCCATGCCAGGACAGGACAGTCTATGTTTATTTCTGACCCCTGTGAGAGTTCTCATGTGCAGTGAGTGGGCTTGTGTGAACCAGTGTGAAGGTGGGTGTGGATCTGTGTCTACTTGTGTGGATATGAGTGTGTGTGTGTGTGTGTGTGTGTGTGTGTGTAAAACCTGCCTGACTGGCAGGAGTGGATATATTCTAAAGGGACTCCTGTGATCCTCTTTGACTATCAGACTACTGAAACAAATTACAATTTCTCCAGGAGTCTCCAGATGGAAAAGGAAAAGGCTGAAGCCCCAGGGTTCCAGAGGAGGTGTTTGTTCACTGGAGAAAGTTTTACAGCTTGTGGGGCAGACTTGGAGCTGAGATAATGGTGGCCAGGGCTGGACTGCTTGGTTATGTAGTCCTGTCTTCTGTTTAAACCTTACCCACTTGTCAGGACCCTGAAGAAGGGCTGTGGGGGTGGGGGAAGAGGCTTACTGGATCTCTGTCCCTCTTCCCAGTGTGGCCACATGGAGTAAATCTCCCTTTTCTGGTTTTCACTCTTAATCTGGCTCTTTTAATTAAAGGCTTATGGAGGACTGGTGGCCTGAATCTGGTTTGCTGGGGCAGAGGCTGCGACCTTAAGTTCAGTCACATGTGTGCACCAATCTATTTCTGTATGTATCAGTTTTTTTTTTTAAGATTTATTTATTTTGTGTATGAGTGCTCTATCTGCCTGTATGAATTTATGCCAGAAGAGGGCGTCAGATCCCACTATAGATGGTTGTGAGCCACCACATTGCTGCTGGGAATTGAACTCAGGACCTCTGGAAGAGCAGCCAGTGCTATTTACCTCTGAGCCATCTCTCCAGTCCCGTATATATCAGTTTTCAAGAAGGAATGTTCTTGTACACAAAGGTATGTGTGAAGGGATATCTGAACGTGTATGTGGGCATGTGTAGTGGACACTTTTCACCTGCTTGTAGAGAGCATCAGAGAGCTACATTTAAAGTTTAGAATAAAAAGGTTTTCTAAAATTCAATATATTTTTTATTAAATCAGAAAAAGAGAGGTACAATATACACGACCATCAGCCAGTCATACACTACTTTGCATTACACCGTAATGGACTCATGATCCAATTTAGTTCTCTATACAAGAATTAAAAAAAAAACACCTCAAGTATTTGAATAATCTTCTGTCAATTTTTATTAACTGGGTTAGGGGAAGGTTTTTTTTTTTAATCAGAGAACATCCTGAACACATTAGGAAATTACAGACAGGCGTGAGGTAAGCGTCAGACAGAAAAGATGAAGCGGACTCCTCAGGCATCTGAGAAACATTAATAACGAAATATTGCAGAGACAAATCTTTGTTAGGGGTACCGAATGCAAAGGGGAAAGTGGAGGTCGTGGCACCCCTTTGTGTCACCAAATAAACCTGCAACTTAATTTCATTTTGCCCTTAGTTTTTCTTTTAAAGTTGGTAATCCAGGCCTTGTCCCCACACCTCAGAAATAATTGTTCCCCCAAATCACTGCAATCCCTCTCCAGTCAATCACTCCCTTCCCCGATAACTTTCAAGGGTCCTATTTGAAAACTGACTCTTACCCATTCCTCTTTGTACCCTACACATTCCGTTCCAGAAAGTAGGCAGATGCCCACAGGGCCTGCCCAGAGTCCTCCTTCCTCCAAGATGAACAAATAGGTCTTCCCTTCCCCGATCAGGCTTAGGGGATGAGTTGACATCTGCTACAAAGCAGAATATTCTTTTTCTCATTTTTTTTTTTTTTTTTTTTGCATTTTCCCTCTGCAACTTACTGGATACTGCCATCTTTTCATAACTTAACACAAATGCCTTTATCTACCTCCTCCATCCCATTCCTGGCACTCACCAGCTCTCCTGGATTAACTAGTTAACCTGTTAACCCATTTTTACAGTTATATTGCCAGGAAAGACTGGACCAGAGACATAAATAATACACCTCAATCTACAACAATTCAGGTCGAAGTTGTAGGCAGAATTCCACTGGCTGGCCAGGAGAAAGACAAATATATACATAGAGTGAGTCTGGACGGGAGATGGAGTGGAGGAGGACCTGGTGGGAACTCAGTGGTTTGTTTACTTGGATTTTCCGACTGGTCCGATGGATACGGGGTCCGTCTGCACCTGAGCATCCAGCATCCGCTTTGGTCCCTGGAGAAAAACATAAAGCAGCCCATATAAAGCTAACAGCAGCAAGGAGAACATACCACATACTTATTCCGAGCTAGGTAATGTGCTGCTTAAATATGCCCTATTCGTGGGTAGATGTCCAGCTTCAGCACCTAGTGACGTTGCTTTCTGGTTCTGTGAAATCTTAGACACATTATGATTTGATGATGATATTTAAACATCTCAGAGGGTTGTTCCCAAGATAAAATGGACTCACACTGTGATGCACTTAGAATAGTCCTGGGGTGGGGAACTTCCTGTTCTAGCTCATTCTAGACACCTCATCTCTAGTCATTGTCAAGCAACTCATTTTTTCACTGTCTCACAAAATGGAGCTCTGATTTATTCCTCATCACTATCTGGAGTGATCTCACTATCTTTAATCTGGCATCTTCCTCCTCTATGGATTCTGTCTGCTGCATCCTCAGGGCCACCCAAGTTCCTGGCATGTGGGGGGTGCACCTTATTGCTGTCCTGGTGTGGCAGGTGGATGCATGCAGGTGCTGTTATGACTGTACTACTGTACTTTCTGTCAAGTGTTACTTAGACACAGTCAAACTAGCCCTTCCTGCATACAGTTCAATGAGCTCGCATTAGTACAATGGTCATGTTAGTACCACCTAAATCAAATACATACCACCCTTGTCTCTGCCCATCTCCCAAATATTGGCTGTCCTAGAATGCGGTAATGTATTGTGTCCCCCAGTATACTGTGTCCTCCAATAAAATTTATCTGAGATTCAGAGGAAAAAGCCAGCTACTATAGTAAACATAGAAGTCAGGCAATGGTAGGACACACCTTTAATCCTATCACTTGGGAGGCAGGGATCTGTCTGGATTTCTGTGAGTTCAAGGCCACACTGGGAACAGAGCTAGGTATGGTGATACAAGCTGGGAGGTGGTGGCACATGCCTTTAATCCCAGCACTAACCATAGAGGTCTGGAGGTCTGTACAATCAGACAGAAAGTGACAGAGCTGAGCAGGAAGAAGAAGTGATGTAGCTGGGCCGAGAGAGCAAATGAGGGAGAAGAACAGAAAGGCATATAGACGTGGGTATACAGGAAGTAGCTCTCTTTGGAGACTGAGGTGTTGGTTAGCTTGTGGCTTTTCCTATTTCCCTGGTCTCTCAGGTTTTTACTCCTATATCTGGCTCTGTGTTTTTTTTTTTTTTTTTTATTTAATAAGACTGTTTAGCAATTCATCTACACTAGAACTCACTATTTAGTTGGTCCTGGTCTCACAGCAATCCTCCTGAGAGTTAGGATTATAGGCTTGCACCATTATGCCTATTTCCCAGGATTTCATACCAACGAGTAAGAGAATCCCTAGCCTTTGAACACAGTTTCTTTCCTGTCACATGTGAGCTGAGATTTATACATGTCACATGGATTGGAGGCAGTTACTGGTGGCTCTTTCTTCAGTATAAAGTAGAACCTTACAAAATGGGATCGTGCACAGAGCACATAAAGGTGTACAGAGCACAGTTTATTATTATAGTAGTAAGTTATATAAAGGGAATAGTGTGATATACTATACATAACATAGGATAGTATATATTACATAATATATACATACTATTTGCTACATAGTCTAGTAAAGGAAATATAACACAGTATAGTTTTTAATTGTGTGTGTGTGTGTGCAAGCACATGTGCATGCATGCTCACATGTGTATGGTGCACACGTGAAGGCCATGCGAAGGCCACAGGTTGATGCCAGGCATTTTCCCCAATTGCTCTCCACCTTATATACTGAGGCAGGGTCTCTATCTTGGACCAAAACCACACTGACTTAGTCTATAGCCATCTTCCTTCAGGGATCCTCTCTCTGCCTCCTTAAGTGTTGGGATTACACGATTGTGGCCACACCCTCTTGGTATTTACATGGGTTTTGGGAATACCAACTCTGATAATTTTATGGGATGGTCAGAACAAATCTGACTGTCTTGGCCACTCTGCCTGAAACTGCAGCCACAAAAGGAATTCTGTTCCCAGCAGTCTCAGCTGCTCCTTCAGTGAAGAAGTAACTCAAGCAAGCATTATCCCTGGCAGATTAAAGATGCAGGGGACCATCAGCCTGAGGCTGGCTCTCTAAGTTTTTATGTCACAGAGAGTACAGTGTGACTGAGTGGCTAAACACACCAGAACCTAACAGGAGAGAGTATTTTGTATAGCAAATAGCTGGACTTCCAGTTAATCACAAACTGTCTAATTTGGCCAATCACAAGCAGGCAACATAGCATATCATACTTAAATAAGGTAAATGGTGCACTGCACCACTCTGGTGCTTCTTGTAGCCAATCAGTGATTGGCACAGCCATATCTGAATGGAATGGCAGAAGTCATAAAGCCAGCACAGCTGCTTGACAAAGGTCCAGCAGAGCTGAGCCACATGATGGCTGCCATGTCACCTTTGGTTTTCATCTCCACCTGTTACATACTTGGGGCACTTTTCATATTTGTACAGTTTGAGGATATTGGATTGATGGAAAATTCCTTATGAATCATTTATGCCTTCTCCCAGGAATGCTGCTTCTAAGCGTATCCAGGAAAGTCCTGAACATGCTGTTCCCCCCCCCCCCCACACACACACTTTGAGGGAGATATCCTTATCTACTTGAAGGTCTTCCTTATGCCTTGGAGGTTGTGACACATAAAGAAGAAGCCAGAGGTCCCTTCATGAGGCTATGAGACATTCTTGAAACATTTGTCCCTATACTTACACTGGAACAAGATATTCAAAACAAAGTAAATTCAAAAAGGTCATCAAGATCCGGTGGGCTAGAGGAATTGTCCACAGTTCAGATTACAAGCCTCTTCCCACTGTACACTCAGACAATTATGTGGCATACAACTCTGCCCTACACAGAGACATATTGATAAGTAAAGTGTGGAGTGGAAAGATGATAAAAGTATGAGATGTTAGGACCTCCCTCTCTTAGGAGTTAGCTCATGTAGAGCCACTATAATGTCATATGACCAAGGAACAATGGAATGCCAGGATTAGACATATAGACCAATTCTATAAAGATATAAATGTGAACATTGATTGTATTATGCCAGAATTTGAATAATAACTGCAGCAGCTTTAGTCTGAGGATTTTTCCTGGGCACTCTGATCACTAAGAGTTAATAATACACTGCTTGGGACATGGCAAAATGCCCAGGGTGGTTGAAGATTTTTGTTTTGGTCTAATGTCCTTGAAGCAACCAAAGCAACAAGCTTGAGCACAGACTGTCATTTGCCTTGAGATTCTCAAAAATTGGGTTATGGGGTTAACGAGTAAGAATGATAACTCTGTTTATTAATGATGTCAAAACTTGAGGGGAAATGATTGGAAATGATAACTCTGTTCTGTCATAGTTTATTAATGATGACTAAAAGATGAGCAAAAGGAAGTGAAACACATGTCCAAAACCCAAAAATAATATGATCTATGTTTTGGAACATCATGAATGTATCCCTGCTAATTAAATTCTGTAAAAATAAAGAAACACTCTGGCTGCTAGTCAGTCAGGCTGCAAGATTCTCTCGACCACCATGGCCTGGCTCACTTCCTTCTCCCGCCGACTCTTTACACCCTCTGCAGGACCCATTCACCACCAGGGAATGGCTCCCGGCAAGTGATTACTTTGTCCAGCCTGTAAGCTCATGGCTGGTAGGGCTGAGCTGGGCTCTAGGATCCTCTTCTGATTCAGAGTTCTGTCCAATCCACAAATGATCCCTTCCTCAAATGCTCCACATTAAATATGTTGACTTTAGGGAAGAGGGAGCATCAATTGACTTAGATTGGGCCGTAGGCAAGTTTATGGGGGCATTTTATTGATTGATGACTTCAGTGGGAGGGCCAAGCTCACTGTGGGCAGTGCCATCCCCTAGGCAGGCAGTCTTAGGTTGTGTAAGAAAGCTGGCTGAGCCAGCCTTGGGGAGCAAGTCATTAAGTAGCACTCCTCCATTGTCTCTGCTTCAGTTCCTGCCTTCTGGTTCCTGCCCCGATTTCCCTCCTTGATGGACTGTAAACTGTAAGCTGAAATAAACCTTTTCCTCCCCAAGTTGCTTTTGGTTGTGGTATTTATCACAGCAATAGAAAGCAAATTGAGGGCCGGGTGGTGGTGGCGCCCGCCTTTAATCCCAGCACTCAGGAGGCAGAGCCAGGTGGATCTCTGAGTTCAAGGCCAGCCTGCTCTACAGAGAGAGATCCAGGACAGGCACCAAAACTACACAGAGAAACCCTGTCTCGAAAAGCTGGAAAAAAAAAAAAAAGCAAAGTGCAGCTTGACCTAAATTTTACAACGGGGGAAACTGAGGCACTGAGGGGTTGAATAGCTAAGGACACACAGCTAGGAGGCAGCCGGAGCAGGACTGCAGACAAGCTGGGTGGAGTGGCTTGGGAGCATAGGCCTTTGGTCTCACTGTCTCCTACCACCCCCAATGCTATTTAGATCTTCCTGTCCCTACAACCCAGCATCCTCATCCTTCCTGTCCCTAACCTCAGCCTACACTTTGGAGATTAATACCTCACCCCTTAGCTAAGAACCAAGAAAGATGACCCCATCCACTTACCAGCCCCTTCAGGAAGCCCCCGAGGGACTGTCGCCGCTTCTCGGACCTCTTTTGGGGCTTGTCCCCACTCTGCGGTGAGTTGGCCTCCACCACGGGCTGTTGCGCGCACTGCGCGGCTTCTCTGGCTTCCTGTTTGCTGCTCTTCTGTTTGTTGGTCTCAGCCACAGACTTCTTGTCCACTGACTTCTCCTTCGAGGAGGTCTCCTTGCCTTTCTGGGCTGTTGGCGCGGGCTCCGGTTCTGGAGGCGAGAGCGTCTTCTCCGTGGAGTTCGACGTCTACAGTAATTCCAAACAAAGCCCCCGTTTAGTGTCTGAAAGACGATTCTTAATAGCAGAAGGGTAAATGTGTTAAACAGAGATGTTCGGATGTTGGAAATGAGTTTGGGTAAAATGTGGGGAAAAAAAAATCATCAAGGTCGTGCATAACAGGGGGCATTTATTTATGTATTTATTTTTGTAATAATCCATTATTCATTTATGCATTCCCTGTAAGGACTCTTTCTCTTTGTCAAACTACATACATGACTTTTGCTGAGCCACTTAACTCCCTAAAGCCTCAATTTCTCCACCTGTAAACTGGGGTAGTAATAACATCTACCCCATGCAATCTAGGCAAACTAATTCTACCCCCAGGAGAAGAGCGTGTGGCCTAGGCCTGGCCAGTCACAACAGTGTATGTGATGGAACATGTACAGCTCTGATTGGTTCAGGATAAGCTAGAGACAGCTCTGATTGGTTCAGGATAACTGAACCTAGCTCTGATTGGTTCAGGATAGCAAAGACAGATAGAGGCTGATCTGATATTGGAGCTTTGCTAGAAAAATCAAGAGGTCTGACTTTACTCCACTGGATTTGAAGCTATGAAAATACAAGCCTGAGCCTTTGTGAATTCGTTTCAAGAGAAAAAATATCTCCAGATAGGAAGTCAACACAGAGAAAAGCAGAGCTGAGAACACGTGAATGACATCAGTACGGGTGTCAGCATATGTGACCGTGGATCCAGCATTCCTGAAGCCCTTTCATGAACAGGGCAGTGTTGAGAGGGTATCCCATAATTAGCCCAAGTGACTTATTTCTTGAGAGTGCACACTTTGAAATTCATAATTACATATGCCTTATATTTTTATGTGAAACTGTCCCTTTATTTCATGAAACGGTAGTTTAAAAAAACCCAGATGGTTATTTTTAGTTTTGAATGGGCATCTTTCAATACCAAAATGAGACACCCTACACAGTACCTACAATGTAGAGGCTATAAAAACCCCAGGCCTAGAAGGTTCTGGGAAAACTGTAGCTACGCAGAGAAAAAAAAAATCTGTCAGGAAGTTGAAATCGTTTTCCCATCATTTTTGACCTCAACTGACTACCAGTACAGACACAGAAAATCAGAAAAGAGGGAGACCAAACAACCCCAGAGAAATCCTACTCCTCAGCGGTGATTGAACAGGGTCCCAAGCAAGCTCTCCTGTGTTAGACAGGCACAGGTCTCAGCAACTCTGGCTGTGGTGCAGGGAGGCAAACGGGAGTAGCAAGAGAAATTTGATGAACCCAATGTCACGCACACCATCCAATTGGCTAGTGGCTGCTCACATCCTAGCTGGGAGACATCATGTCTTTACATGGCCAGCACGGGCCTCAAACTTGTGATCCTCCTGCCTCTGCCTCCCAAGTGCTGGTGGTCCCATGCCCCCACATGAGGCTTCTGAGACCTTGGCAGTGAACTCTTGTAAAATGCAATCCGTATCAACTTTGAAAGTTACACCAAACAATAGAAGTGTAACTACTACCCGTGGGCCACATTTGACCCCTTAATTCAGGTCTACAAACTCTGGTTCATGAAGTCCTGTCATGTACCCAGGCAGGAAGTCCCACAGCAGAGCTGTTACGTTGACCAAGAATAAAAGCTGGTGTTTTGCATCAGTGAACCCAGCACAGCTCTGAGAAAGAAGCCAGAAGCCAAGCGGACAGGCTGCTCTGAGCCTGAGCTCACGGAGATTGCAGCTCTCGGGAAGTAGATGTCCTTGGAGGTAGCCAAAACCCTTCAAATTATTCTGCAGCCACCTGTACCTAATCCTGCCATTTCTCAGCAGCCAAAGCTGTAGCAAGTGATAAGACATGGAGGTGAATCCCTGAGTAGCATAGGAAGCCCAGAGCAACTGTCTCCGTGGGTGAAGGGGACTCCCACCGCGAGGCTCCTTGGGAAGGCTGGGGACCTGCGATGCTGTGCAAACCCCTGAATTTCCACAAATTGTGTGGAAGATGTCAGCATCTAGCAGTGACTCAAATCCTTACAGTGGAGTCAGAGACCTGGCTTGAGTACAGTTCTATCATGCCCTTGCTGTGCGACTAGGCACCGAGAGGCTCTCCCTGTCCTCGTCTGTGTCATGCCACCTGAGGGTCAAATGGCCACATCTGGCCCATGTGGAATGCCAAATGCCGGGTAGCGATCATCTCGGGTTTTCTTAGAGGGAGGTGGTTCCAAGACACAGAACTGACAGCTTGATGTTCAGGAAAGTCCCCAGCCAACAGGCTAACAGAAGAGCTGGTCACCCTCGTAACCTTGCCTGCAGTTCCTCTTTTTAAGAAACTGTGAGGTTCTGAGTGCACTGTGCAGATGAAGCACCGGGAAATGATGACGCACAGTGACACACTAGTGGCCCACCGCTCACACTGCCCAGCTGCAGGGACTCCCCCTCCCTTCTCGGGAAAAATTCCATCTGGGAACTGAGCTTTTCCTTGTTCCTTCTGCCCACATATATAGAAGTTTTCTAATTATTAATAGAAATAGCAACTCTAGACTGCATTCTGAATTATGCTGTAGATTCATGTGATATGAATATTGGATGGCCATTCCCTACCAACAGTTTAATAATAATGACAAATAGCACCTACATTTGGCCGGATCATGCAACCCCAATTCATATGCTGAAAATGAATCCCTTTTGTGGTTGCATTTGGAATAAAGTAATAATTCAATGTGAAATGAGGTTGTACTGATGGGGCTCTGATTCCAAAGGTTTAGCATCATTATAGGAAGAGACACTAGGGGGCACTCTTCTCCCCTCGCTCCTCCTCTTCTCTATGTCCCCTGCAAGGCAGAAGGCAGCCATTTGCAAGCAAGGGAGAGAACCTTCACTAGAGACTGAACCATAGCAATGCTTTGATTTTAGCCTTTCCAGCAACAGAAATGAGGGAAAAGACATGTCTGTGGTTTAAGCCACTCAGCGTATGGTGTTTTGTTATGGCAGCCTATGCTGATATAAAACAATTCATTGAGCCTTCCAGGTCAGGAATGTTCTCAGTCCTTTCCTGGTACTGAGTCATCTAGGTAGGACGCCCTATAATGTCTACTTCCCCTACATCCACCTGGGTGTGGAAACTGAGGCCCTGGGAGATTAGTAATCTGCCAAAACACCTATAGCAAAAACTCCACAAAAAACAGAAAACAAAAAGACCCTGGCCCATTGAGTCTAAAATCCAGGCTTTTAAGCACTTCTTCATATTACTAAAATTACTAGAAAAGTATTTGATATATTTTTAAATTTTTTTAAAATTTTATGTGCATTGATATTTTGCCTGCATGTATGTCTGTGTGAGGGTGTTGGATCCACTGGAACTAGAGTTCAGACACTTTTTTGAGCTGCCATGTTGGTGCTGGGAATTGATCCCAGGTCCTCTGGAAGAGCAGCCATCTTTCCAGCTCCAGTATTTGATATTTTTATAGAGGTATTCATTTAAAATTTAAAAAGTGCCGGATTACAAACTAGAGGGTCTTTAGATGATGTTGAACACCTGATTTTCTTCCCTCTGGCTCTCAAGTGCTGGGATTGAGGCATGTGCTACCATGCCTGGTCTCCTCATGCAGTGCTGGGATGGCATCGGGGCTTTGTGTATGTCAGGCAAGCTTTCTACTAATCGAGCTACATCCCCAGCCCACTGATCCGATTTTTAAAAGGAAGATCCCATGCAGATATAAAATAGTCTGTTAAGAACAAAGCAGCTAAGTCAGTGGGCATCACCCATCTGCTTCAGGAGAGTTCCTACTGTGTGCCAGACCCCACACACAGCGATAGAAAAATGCAAACACCTGCTTGCTCCACAATGTTCCAGACATGGGTGAGGCAGGAGAGACACACAGGAGAATCATTACAGTATCATGAAGTGAACCAGCAAGATGGCGGTGATGACTGCAGGGCATAGGATCTCTGAGGGGGTGACATTTCTGCTAAAACTTGAAGGCTGAAGAAATTTCCCATAGGAAGAGAGAGGAGGAGGTTCCACATTGCTGAAGACTAGTTTATATCATGTCTGCAGAGCCCAACAGTGGTGGGTATGCAGTGGGTGCTTAATCTGGAAACGCTGCATCAATGACTGAGAACTGCATTGAAAATAAGCCTGGAGAGGAGCGAGAAGGCATCAGCTAAACCCACCACCAGACTGAGTTCAAGGTCACTTACTTGGCAACTGGAGTCTTTCCCATTACTTTCTTCTGAGCGGGTGATCCCTCCATCCCTTTTCACTGACTATAATAACAAACAGACAGTGTCCTTTCAGTGACCGCAGCACAGCAACAAGGGACAGATGCATGCTCTCCCCAAACCGATGATCCCTGTCATTTATTCTTGAGATTTAGGATCAAGACCCTAGAAGAGCAACTAGGAAGGACCGCTCATAGAGATGTGGAGTCCGACGGAACTCAAGGGCTAGCTTCCCAAAGGAGCAGCCAAAGTCCCAAGCCCCCAGGGTTATGTCATTCCGGGATGAGTAGATCACGAGGAAAGTGCCAGTGTAGAGGCTGGCTCTGGTGGGCACGCCTGGGGTTGCAGAACATGGTCCTCTGGGCGTAACAGCCACTGCCATGGAGCAACTGTGACTGCTACAAGAGACCCTCCAAATCAGGCCTGTTGACTGTCCCTCATAGAAAAGGGGGATCATTAGGCCTTCACCTGAGATTCTAGCCACTCTTTCCTACCCACCCCCCCACCTGTTTGTAGTCTCAGGAAGTACTAGGGCATACAGCATGTGGAAGGCTAACTGGAGGAGAAGGGTGTGGCTCCATCTAGCTAGCTATAAGGAAGTCATTATCCATGCTGGGGTGAGACCTTTCAGTGCAGCAGCTGCTTTGGGGTCACCCAGGCTCCTATAAGTCACCCCTCACTCATGCTCTGGAAGAAAACCCAATAAACTCATTGGTTTACCATGGGAGACCTCGGTGGAGTTGGTACTTTGCTCAGTCACTGGCCCCCTAGCTGGGGTGAATAGACATCTGTCCTGTCTCCCCAGGAAAATGCATGTAATCCCTCCACTCATGGGCTGAGGCAGCAGGGCCACAAGATAGCCTGGGCTAAATGAGATCCTTTTTGAGAAGGGGAAGGAGGAGAAGAAAGCAGTGTTGGAAGGAGGTGATGAAACGTGAGTGAATGAACAACTGGGCGTTGTAGCCTCCCGTTGGTACCACCTGGTGCTAACTGCTATTTTCATCCAGTGGAGTGCTGAGGGTTAGTGAGCATTCCATGCGCCATCCTTTAGCGCCCCCTAGAGCCAGTGGTTTTCTTGACAGGGCTGCATCTAGTTGACTCTGCATCGTTGATTCCTTCAACCAGGTGAGCTGAATGAACTAGTATTTCCAAATGTGTGGCCACAGGCACAGAGGCATCAGATTCACCTGGGGACTTGTTAGAGCGATGCAAATTCTTGGCACCTGCTTAGGTGTAGATCTGCTGAATCAAACTCTGGGGGCTAGGGCTCAGCCACCTGTGTTTAACAAGCCCCTCAGGGGATTCTGAGCACATTAATGCCCGAGCTGGCCACAGTCACACTCAGACTTAACCTGAGCTCCGTAGCTTTAGCTGTGCACACAGTAATGCCCAGTGCTTGATGCCATCAAATACCCACTGGGTGTGGTGATGAGCGCTCGGGTCTCATCCACAACACCAACTCAGGTTGAATCTTGGAATAGCTAGTCATTACTTTGCATCACCTCTTCCAGCTGGGCAAGAAGTGGGGCGGAAGCGGTGTGGGGTGAAGAGGAGATGCTCACCCTCACTGTTATCACCTGGGCTGTTCTCTTAGCGGACGGCGTGCACTCACAGGGCACAGCCAAGAACAGTTAATCCCAAGAACGTTAGAGCAGGCAGGGAGCTGGCTCCACACCTTCTTGAAAGCAGCAGGTGTGAGCAGAGTTCAGACCCTGGGAAGCTGGGTGGGCATGGTGACCATTTAGAATTTCAGTGCACGGGAAGAAGAAATAGGATTCCTGGAGGATCGGGCTAGCTAGGCTAGTCAAATCTGACAGCACCTGGTTCAATCAAGGGACTCTGCCTTAACATAAGGAAGTCTCCCAGCACCAGCCTCAGGCACACACGTACACATGTCATGCACACCCCCACACATGTGTACCCATATACAGGCAAACGTGCATATAAGCACACATACCATACATGCATGAGGAAAGAAAACTGTACTGGTACTCAAATGCATTTGACTGATTAGTGTAATCTGCTTCAGTTGTCTGAGATGGGATGCTCAAGGTTTCGGAGAAGAGCACAAGGCTAACGTTGAGTGGGGAGCTAACTGAGAGCAGGCACTGTGCCTAAAGAGAAAAATATGCATGCTTTATTCACCACAGCAGAACCTTAACGGGGAGAATCGTTATTTTTCTCATTTTAGGAGCAAGCAAAATGAAAGCTCAGAGATATGAGGCTGGGCTGTGGACCTAGCTGGTTAGAGACGCACGCTGTGACAATGGGCAGTGAGTCCAGGCTCCATACTCTAAGTCACCTCTGCTTTCTACCTCCCCAAGGAAGAGCAAGCATCACACCGTCAACTAGTGATGGTTGAACATTTACTTGAAATTAGAATATTTGAATCAGATAAATTGAAATTAGAGTAAGCAAAATAATGTAGGTTTGGAGAAGCTACAGACGGATGAACCTGAAGTACAGATGTTTGTGAGACATGCCCATTATCAAGGTGGACCCTGAGCTTCTTAAATATTACTTGGTGTTCCTCTCCAAACAACAGAAACACTGACTAACACCATCAATAGTTTGAGCAGAGTGTGGGGATCCCTAAATTCCTAAAACCACATCTCCAGAGTATCCCAAGTACAGGTACACCCTTGATGTGTTTCTTGATTGGTTAGGAATGGAGGATGGGGTGCTGCCAAGCTCTATGAACTTCCTGTTTCTTTGTTTTTTGAGGCAGCATCTGCTACATTGCCCAGGCAGGCCTTGAACTTGCCATCTTTCTGCCCCGGCCTTCCAAGTAACTGGGATTTACTGGCAGGCACCACTGTGGTGGTTTGGATGGGAAAGACCCCTGTAGGCTCATATTTGAATGCTTAGTCCCTAGGGAGTGGACCTGTGTGAGAAAGATTAGAAGGATTTGGGGGTGTGGCCTAGTTGGAGGAAGCGTGCCACTGGAGATGGGCTTTGAGGTGTCAAAACCCAATGCTAGGCCCAGTCTCTCTCTCTCTCTCTCTCTCTCTCTCTCTCTCTCTCTCTCTCTCTCTCTCTCTCTCTCTCTCCCTGCTGCCTGGATCAGAATGTAGCTCTCAGCTACTTCTCCAACACCATGCCTGCCTGTGTGCCACCAAGCTCCCCACCATGATGATTATAGACTGATCTTCTAAAACTGTAAGCAAGCCCCCAATTCAGTGCTTCCTTTATCAGAGTTGCCTTGGCTATGGTGTCTCTTCACAGCAGTAGAACTGTGGCTGAGACTGTTCCAGGCTTCCATGCAGTCCTCTCAGAGAACTCGTGAGATACACCAGGGATCAGTGTGTTCTCGGGAGAATTTAGGTCCTGGGGCACGGAGAGTGGCTCTTCCTTCCTCTCGGTCTCCTGTGCTGTTCTAAGAGGCTCAACCTTGCCTGAGAGCATCGAGGAAAGGGAATTAACTCCTTTGGCGATTGCTGGCAGCCCTCCTTACCGTCTGCTAACATTCTGACACTTTGTGATCTCACTGGGCCCCCTGGGTTCAGTAGAAGGAGCCCCTTCTACTGACTGGCACTCCAGAGTGGCCTTCAGAATATGGCTTCTGTCCACCTCAGCCCCTGGGGGACTGTGTATGTTTGTCTGTGTGGGTGAGTGGGGAGGTGTTCTTGTGTGGCAGTGTGCACGTGGAAGCCACAGGTCAACACTGAGTGATGTTCCCCTGGAAGCACCCACGTGTTCTTTTTGAAACAGAGTCTCACTGAACCTGGAACTCATCAGTATAGCTAGGCTGGCTGACCAGCAAACCCCGGAGAGCTACCTGTTTCTGCTTCCTTGGTGCTGGGATTACAAGCTATCATACCTGGTTCAGGGGTGAAATTTAGATCCTCATACTTGGAAATCAAACAGTATACCAAATGAGTCCCCTATCCCCTCCCAGGGGCATGTTGAGCTGTAAAATACAAACACATGTGTGGTGTGGGTTGAGTGAGAGTGTTTCCTGTAGACTCCGGCCTTTGAGCACTCGGTCCCCAGTGGGTGACACAGTTTGGGGGAGGCTTGGGAAGTGTGGGCTGTGGAGGAAGTGTGTCACGGGACACAGCCTTGGAGAGTTTAAAGGCTCTCACCATTGTTATTTCTCTGCTTCCTCCTTTCGGTTCAAGACATGAACTCTCAGCTTCCGGCTCCAACCACCATCAACCCTCTGCTCTAAGTTGCTTTGGCCATGGTGTTTTATCACAGCAATAGAAAGGTAATCAATGTAACATGCATGAACAACATAGCTTTTAAGCAAAAAAACAAAAACAAAACAAAAAAACCCAAAACAACAAAAATGAAAACAATGATCCTTCCACAACTTCTCGACAATAAAGTTCTTTTGTATTCTAAGACAGCGCTGTTGAACTTGACTTTCCTTATTTTAAGATGTGTTCCATAGATGCTTCCAGTTCAAGGGCTGGGTCGGGCAGGCTTTCTTTCCCTCCGTCTCTTAGTCTTGGAGGAGAATTGGGTCAGCTCAGTACCATGCTGTGTTGGCAGTGTGAGAGCGGACCTCAGGATCACTACCATTCCCATCCTTCTTGAGGAAAAATGGGAGCTAGTCTCGAAAGCCTTCCGATGGCTTTTTTTCTGTTGGTTTTGAAGCCCAAGAAGCTGTGTGTATGGCCAAACTAACTTCTGGCATCAGACAAAGATGTCATTAAGTTCATCTGAGGCCACTTCCTTAATCACGCCTATCTTGCATACCAACACCTCCCACCTGCCCTCCCTCAGAACCTAACTAGGCAGAGCCCTCTTTCAGTGACAACTCAGATAATCCATGTTGGGCTCTGCCATCCAAACAGCCGTGACCACTGAGGCTTTATTTTTTTCCAGTTGTCAAAAATAACAAAGTTACGGTCTGAGGATACTAAAATTCTTTCAGAAATGATTTAGTGTCATGTAGAAAAGTTTAGAGGTTCGGAAGCAGTTTCTGAGATTTTCCCACTCCCTGCCAAGTACCTTGTTTCCCCCATGGTTTTATTCATGAGACTCAAAGGTGAGGCGTCTCAGGACTCCAGCCTGCAGTTTAGAGACAGAATCCAGTC